TATCAGAGCTGAATAGTAATTATACCATGTGTGGTAATGGGTTTTGTGTAGATGACAAATTTAGGCAAGTTTATAGGTTTTGGTTACAGAACTTTGCATGTTGTGATACCACACTTTTTCACCGGGAGTTGCTAAGCTTATGTGTGGTAAATGCTCCCTTGTCTAGGCATGACAGTGGGTCGCTAACCTCTCCTTGCTCTTGTGCTGTATAAGGTAACGGATACTTATTCAGCAAGTATGAATTTGCTTTATAAACTTCTCTGATGAATATCTGAGCATTTTTTCCTTTTTGGTTGGGAGATAAAATGGGGAGAGGGATGACCTCTCAGGTGGAAATAAAACAACCCTAGAGGTTTCTAACAGAAATTTTACCTAGGAGTGAACTTTTTGGTCTGAGACTGAAAGTGCTCATCAGGCAAGTTTCCTCTGTGACAGAGTTGGTGTAAAGGCCAGAGCAAAATCCACAGGTCTTTCACCTTTTACCACAGAGAGAGAGAGACTTGGACTCAACCCGTGATGTTTCCAAATCAGTGTAACACATTTCTCATAAGCATTTCTTGATTGATTAAGGTGATCTCTGGAAAGAATGATATGTTTTAAGATGTTGAAAGCAAAATACATGATTCAAGAAATTCATACACCTTCCCATTCACTCCTCAGCTCAGGAAGGTGGAGATTATGTGGCACATGCTTATGAATAACTGTTCAGTTTACTTGTTTACCTTCTGTCACTGCTGCTTTTCTTTATTTGGTTTCTTACAAAAGGTAGTGCTGTCCTTAAACTATGCATTGTAAATCAGCCATAGTTCACAGGGGCCAGATCTGTATTCGGCGTATCCTGGGGCCATGCAGAGGATATCTATGACTGATGTGCTGGATGTGATTTATTTTTTGCAGCATTTGATGAGCTCGTCGAAGCATACCAAGAGCAAGCCAAAGGACTTCTGGATGGTGGGGTTGATATCTTACTCATTGAAACTATTTTTGATACTGCCAATGCGAAGGTGAGTTAAGAGAGAAGAAAGTGACAGGGCTGGTGTGGGGGCTGTAGTGAATCCACTAATGTAATGAGAAGCAAATAATAGCCATTATTAAAGTTAAATAAGTGTTTTGTATTTGTACTATTTTATTCTTGGATGTTTTTAATTGAGTAGAATAAGAAAAATTTCAAAAGAGCTGTCTTTTTAGCTTTTAAAAAATGTTTTTTCTAATTATGAAAATAAATATTTTCATATGTAGCTACTGTATGTGCATATATGCACAGGTAACAGATACATGCTCATGGTTCTAAGTTCAAAAGATACATAAATGTATGGAGTGACAAGTAAATGTCTTTTCCTCTCCTAGTCCCTGAGTATCCAGCTCTCTTCCCAGAGACATCTGCTGTCACCAGTTTGGGGGTCCTGACAAAGACTCTACATAGATAGAAGCATGCATGCACATGTGTGTTTGGGTTCCTTGTATTTGTACAAAGGTACAGGAGTGTACAGAGTGAAAAGTAAATATCCATATATATGTTTCGCACAGTGTATCTATAGGACACATTTCTATAAGCGAAATTGCTGAGTCAAAGGGTATGTGCATTATTAACTTTTATCTTTAGTGTCAAGTTATCCTCCTTTGAGGTTGTACTCATTTATACTCCCATCAGCAAGCAGTGTACAGTAGTGCTGGTTTCACTCTGCTCTAACACCATATATTGTTACTGTTAAACTTTTGGACTTTTTCTAGTTTGGCAGATGAAAATAGTACCTCCCTGTAATTTAAATTCGTATTTTTCTTACTGTAAATGAAATTGAGCTTCTTTCTTTAGTTTCAGAACCATTTATATTTCCTTTTCTATGATTTATGTCCTGTCCTCTTTTTTCTATTGGATTTTTTTTTTTTTTTTTTTGAGTTCTTTACTAAGGAAATCAGGCCCTTGTCAGTAAAGAGTAGCAAATACTGTGCTCCAGGTGGTTGTTTGACTTTTGACTTTATTTGGTGGTGGTGATGGTGATATTGTTGCAGTCTTGTTGGTTGTTTGTTTTAATGGTGTAGGCGAATTTTAATTTTGTGCAGTTGAGTTCACAGGTTCTGTTTTTGGGGGTGGGGAGAGAGGGGCTAATAATTATAGGGGCACTCCTCATTCTAAGATAAGGAGAAAAAATGGTCTTTTCCCCCTAGTACTTTATAGTTTCATCAAACCTTTAGTTATTTAATTGTTGTGGAAATAAGACCACAGATTTGAAATTTTTGAACTTTTTTTTTTT